AAAAAATTTTTTTCAAGAAACCCCACATCTGATATGTTCTTAGCTGTTGTATTTTATTTAAAATATGGATTCAGTGCTACTTTTTCTTATTTCAGAGAATGAGGTTTATATTTCTGGATATGAAATTAAGTCTATTTACTTTTTTGGAAAGAAAAAAAGGCTGTTTCTCTGTGTAGGTTGGAGTAGTGATTGTGGAATACTGCAAGACTCCTGAAACACAGAGAGGAATGTACAAAATCTTTTCTATGGAGCTGCTTTTAAATGTTGCTCACCTGCTTCACCTCTTCTTCACACAAACTAAAAATTATGTATGGATATTGATTCACAAATTTCATTGTGTTTTTTATTTACTGCTTAAAAACCCCAAAAGTTAAATGGATAGTGTATCATATGCAGAACTTTCCATACATAAATGGTTTAAAAAAATGAAGTCTGAACAAGCCAGAAATACTTGATCTACCTTGGTGATGCTCAGATCTGGAACATTCCCATTATAGATACTTTTTTTTTTTTTCTTTCCCCCCACATCCAGCATAAGGTGTTAACAGCTTAATGTCTGTTGTTGGCAGAGGAGCTGGTAGCATCTAGGAACATTTCAGTGATGTACAGTTACTCACCATCGTAGATGTTGTGGAGAAGGGGCAGCAGTTGCTTATTGCAGTGTTAAGCTGCAGTAAGTGTTGGTGCTGCATAATGCAGGTACAGTACCCAAATGGTGCTTTGAAGCACTGCCAAAGCTGAGGAGCTGCAGGTTTTTGCTCCATCACATTGATTTTATAACTTTCTGGATAATGGTTATACACCACTGTACCCTCAATTAAATTACATATATTTTTAGTTATGGCATATGGCTAATAAAACAATGAAAGCTGCATGGAGCTATGTATAATAGTTGCCTGCTCCTGGCAGGTTTACTGGGCAGCTTTCAGGAGAAAGCAGAAGCTAATTTATTGCAATTCCTTATTCTTCTAAGATCAGCTTTTGAACTTCATGGAAAAATGTGGCCGTTTTCATTTTGTTCGTTTCCTTAGAAATAATGCTAAACCAAACTTGGTGCTTGAAGTTCAGTCTTGGATTGAGAGACAGAAATTTTCTCAGTACACATGTTCTTATGGAATGAAACAAAGATACTAATGTTTTACCTTTTATAGACAAACTATTTTCTGAAAGACTCTGTCATCATAACTTGAGCCCTTCTTCTGTAGTCATATGTTTGTCTGAACAGCCAGTTGAGTACCCTACATATAGTCAATGAAGCTTGTGGGCCACAGGGACTATGCCTCAGGGCACCTAATTTAGATACCAAAACCAGAGAAGGTGAACATCGTCTTGCTGCTTTCAAGTTTTCACTGCTTTTTATGGAAAGTTTGGTGTTGTCTTAATCTCTTGACTTTGAACAGGGGGGAGTTTACCCCACCTAGTTTTCATCAATGGACATACTGCTACAAGGCTTTGGTTGTAAGTTCTCACTGAACTGGTTGCATCTTCCCACCATAACATGTAAGATCATTTCCACATCATAGAGTAATTACTGTTTATTTCCTTGTAATATCCTGGTAACGGGTTGACTAGGCCCACGTATATGGTTCATCTCTTAGGAGTTCAGTAGATGCTTGTGGGATGTATGAATGCCTTGCCCAATTAGAGCAGAAACTGTATGCAAAACACACCAGCTTAGCAAAATGACAACTGTAGCAGTATGATCTAGACAGTAACTTTTTTTTTTTTTTTAATAAAATGAGTGCATCATCAGGCCATAGATGAATGTGTGATCCAGTTGTCTTGTCAGGGAGAGGGGAACTCTGGCCTATGGCATGTCTTTAACAGAAATTACTTCAGCGTTGTCATAAATTGATTGGAAATATTTTTTCCTCACATTACTCATGGGATGTCAACAAGTATGTAAATGTGAAAATTTAACATATGTCTCCTTACTGCTTTTACACAATTTTTCACACCCGTTTAATGAGTAAAAACTGTCTTGTAAAATGTCACTTCAAACCCAAGTCCTTCGGTTTTGAAGACCATCTTGCTATTATTTTCTTAGTACTCTGCTGAGATGTTAAATAGCTTATTTATTTGTTAAATTTACATGCTTGGACTGTAGCCTAATCTTTGTCTTATTCTGGTTTTACGCTGCGGTTTAAAGTTAGTATATCTGGTAATCCTCCTTGTTGCACAGCGTTTATCTTTTTTGGGTTTCTTTGCTGTTTTTCCTCAGAGCATCCGTTGCCATTGATCCTTTTGCTGCAGCTAATGCAGTAAAATATCAGTATCTTTCTTTTGATCTCTGTGGTAAATGCATTTATTTCTGAATGAAGCTATAACTTTGTTAACTTCCGTAAAGACTTCCTGACAGCACAATAACTAGGGATAGACCAGTGATCTAGATCTAATAAGACCCAATCAGGTTATTTTGTGTTGTGCCTTTTGTCTCTCATCTGTTTGTGGAAGGTGGTCCTGGCTTCCGTGCCCCATGAGCCAGGCAGTCCCCTTGCCAGCATGGTCCCACTGTTGATTTACTGCAGATGCATCAACTTGGAAGCCTAAGACCTGGAATATTTATTCTTTTCCTGAAATCAGTCATGTTTAATTCCCACACTTAATAGTTGCACCATTTAATTTCATTCCACTGCTAGTATGTTTAGACCAAGTTGTGAGAATGCATGTCAAAGAGTTAGAGATGTTGTTATGATTACATTTAATTAGCACATCCCAGGTTAAGTCAAAGTTTTAGGGTTGTGTTTTTCACAGCGTTGAAATACCTTGGATTTTTGGGACCAGTGAAGATGGACACAGGTTAGTAGTGTCGACTTGTGCTGGAGCATGGCTGTGTGTGCCATGTTTCAGGGCTCCAGGAATCCTGAGACAAGACTCACGAATCTGCCTCAATATTAAAGCATTGTTCTGTCAGTTTGTGTGTCATGGTGCAGTATTTGCTAAAGCTTTCAAGAGATGGCAGACTTAGAAGGTGGTGTGCCTGCAATAAACTCCTGCGTTTTGTGCTGTTTCACTTTCCTTTTTTGGGGTAGAAAGGATATGATCACACAAATCCTTTTGTCTGGACTACAGGCTTCATGTTTTGAGGAGATCAAAAATGGGAATCTTGGAACACAAATGAGATGCTTTAGAGTGTTACTGGGTATTCAAGTCATCTTGGCTGTTGTAGAAAGTGCTTCTTCTCTGCCCTTTACATCTTTCTTAGATCGTAGGTTTTGTCTACAACCATGTATTGTTTAAAAATGGGGTGATGGTTGAACTGGGAAGAATTAAGTCAATAAGATGTGACTTTTTTTTTTTCTGACAGATGTTGTTGTTCTTCTGGGATGAGAGTCTAGAGAGTACGTGGTCCTCTCTCTCTCCACAGTACTTAGAGGGATATCACTGTGTCCTCTCTGAGCTGCTTTGCAGTTGAGCACTGGATCATACTGTGCTCCATTGGAAGAACCAAGTGTTTTCTGCTGAGCTTTGCATTTGTTGATATGGCACAATAGCAACTAATAAAATAACTGTTTTGTAAAGTACTGGAATTAAAAAGTAGGAAATGACCCTTCCCAAGGGTTCAAACTAAACCCAGTCACAAGTTTGAATATAAATTTATTTATTTTTTTTTTAAATTTGAGGGGAAAAAAGGTACATTTTTGCTTTTGAAGTTGGGAGAGGGAGTAATGTGCTTATTGCATGTGCTAGGTATAAGCAACTAGTGAAAACAATGCCTCTCCTAGATTATTTTAAAATTTCATACTTGGTAGGTTACTACAGTAATTACTAAACTGTCAGTGCCATGATGACAGTTGTCACATCTAATATTGCATAACGTTTTGAACAGTAACAGAAAAATAGATATTATCTGCCTCTCTACTTTGTTTAGTTAAACTACGTATTTTTGAATATGAATAGTAACATGTTTCAGATAGGAATAGTGGTTTATCATGAAGTGCATGCAAGTACATTTTACTTAAAAACAGTTATGCTAGCAAATTTAAAAGACACACGGCCTGACTTTCTTTTACCTTTTTTGATCTGTGAAATGTTTTATAGACAATTTCCAAGCATTATTATTAAATTATTCTTTTAAACAAGATTTCATTTTGAAAAACTTGAAATATGCAGACAGACAGGAGCCTCTCTGTAGGGTTAGCTGAGGAATAGGAAGTGTTACCTGTTTGGTTTTCTAATTAAAATCTAGCCCACATCAATAGAAATTGGTGGTTGTTACTACTCTGCTTCTCTTGGCCTGCTGATAGGGCTTCCCAGCTCCAGTGTGGTGGGTAGTCATTCAGGGAATGAGTCCTCTTTCTGCACTGAGATCCTTATTTCAGCTCTTTGGACTTAGAGATGTGCCTGGCTGTTGAAGATCACTTTTTGGGAAGCTCCTTCAGGAGCTGTTACAGTCGTTTGTAGTCTGTTACCATCAGAGCTCCTAGATACACAAGTCTGAATGAATCTAAAAATCTGTTTGCACTTCGCTTAAGAGATGTGGTTGTACTGCATGCTGTGGATGGATGATGGGAATACTTTTCTTGATGCAGCCTGGAATTTGCATGTTCTTTGAATAAACACAGGCTATTGTTGAAGCGTACTAATATCTTGACATATTCCACGTGTAAAAAAATTGGTCTGGAAAAACAGTTGGTGTTGCTGTATGGATATATTGTATTTACAGTAAGCATGGTATAGAGTGGTCAAATACAGAGCAGCAGTAGGTCAGTTACTATCTCACTGGACACTTGTCCAAATTCCATTAAAAATGTTGACATTAAGTAATTTGTGAGTTTAATAATATTTAATTAACTACTATTTAAACACCTTTGCCCAGATTGACCTACATGTCTAGTTCAAAAATCATGGTGTAGGTAATAGATTTGACATATTCAGTATATAGTGGTTTGTGAAAGGCAATAGAGTGCACCTCAAACTTCTAATAATCCTTCGTTTCTAAAGAAGAGGAGCAAAGAAATGCACAATACTAAATATTGTCCTTTTTGTTTGTTTTTCAGACTAGCACTGTATGTATATGAGTATCTGCTCCATGTAGGAGCACAGAAATCAGCCCAGACATTTCTATCAGAGGTATGTTTTCCCATCCTTTTTTTCTTTGCACAACTTTGATGTGTGGAAGTGAAATAAATATACATTGGTCTAGAATAAACAGCAGTGACAACCTTGAATATCTGTTTATATCGATCAGCATAGATTTCTGATTCTGTGGAAGCCAGTTTGCCACATCATTTAACTTTGAATAACTGTTTTTGCTGTGATTTGTTATCTCTGTTCTGTAATTTGCTACTACATTGGTGAAAGATTAATTTATTTTCTGTAATAAACATGGATGTTAGAGAATGCATCAATGATACTATTTTTTGATGACCTTCTAACTTACTGTTGATATCTGCAACTGTGAATGAAGTACCTTTCCAAAATACACAGTGATCATGTATTTTACATCCTACTGTCATACACTTGGCAGTTCTCACTCTCTTAAGCAGTGCTGATCTCTCTGTGTATTCTTACCATGCTTCTAACAACTTCCCTTTTCATCTGGCTAATCAATTATGACTACAACCATAATTTACTAGGCTGGTGATGACATTTTGGAGGTGGGATAGGGGAGGATGGGAACCCAGAGTGTTTTTTGTGGTATTTATAGAAAATTCCTATAGCAGAGGTAATGAAAAAGACTAGAATTGTGGTAGGATCAGTTTATGTTTATAGTGAAGTATGTTTTTTGACAATTGTTTTTTCTCTTTAGTAAAGCAATGGAAAAATAAGAGAGAAAATAATGGAGAGTATCATCTTGGCTTTCCCCAAACAGCTGTCATTTGTAAATAATGCACTGTGCAAAATTCATTTTGTTCATTTTGTTTTTATGATATATTTCCAAAGTGAGCAGTTGTCAGAAGTATAACTGGTATGACATTTGGATTTCTAGAAAACATTCAGTACAATGTCTTTGAAACCTAGCTTTTAGAACTAATCCAGTCTTGGGTTATAGAGAAACTCTCAGGTCTGAATGAACGTAATATGATAACATATAAAATCTTTTAAATTGAGACTGACACTAGCCAAAAGATGGTAAACGTGGAGCAGGGACAAATAATGATGTGTAGAGTTGGTATGAGGTGTCTGTTAGATTTCACACAAAGCTGTGAGTTTCTTTACTTTTTTCATTAGCAGTGCAGAAGGGCAAGTACTATGCTGACAATACTTGTGAATGGTTGTATGTTGGAACCAGAAGCAGTTACCACTGATGTGGAGAAACTTAGAAAAAATTATATTTGGTCAGACAGGTTCAGATTGAGAGAACTATACACTAATACAGCTTGGAGAAAATGAACTAAAATGCTCAAGCTAAATGACAAGTAAAAGCAGCAGAAAAAAATACGGTAGTCAGTTCTGTAGTAGACAGGTCTTAACATTATAATGCCCATTTGTTGCTGGGCTGTAAACCACAAATAGCTTAACCCTGACTCTGTACCCCATGTGAGTCAGCTGTTTTTGTTTGAGTACAGGCACATGGCATAAAAACAAGAGAATACCAGTTGAGAGATGTGCAAAAACGTCTTCTAGGGAACCTATGATCTAATGAAAATAACCTATGATCTACTGAAAGTCACAATTTTCCATGTGTTTTCAGTCTTGTGTGACTCAGAGCTGTTAAGAAGCAACTGTCCTGTTGCGACATACTTGTTTGGAGAGTACTTCAGGTGCAGGAGACACCCCAATGGCATAGGAGGAAAGTTGTATTGGTTTGGTCCCTCCTTAAAAAACATGGCTGTTTGAGCTCAATGCCCTCTCTGCTCTGGCAGTCTGCACCTACCAGAATAGTTGGCTGGATTTTGTTAAAGATGAAATAGTTCAAAGTAACTCTAAGACTGAATATAATATGTGCACGTGGATTGATTGAGCTATACAGCAATCAGTGGTCTCTATATACGTATAAATTACAACTACTAAGAGCTGTTCCTTAAATATATACAAAGGAATGTGGCTGAGAGTAATGGAACAAAATTAAGAGGAGGAAAATTTAAGTCAAATATAATGGAATCCACTCTACTATAACGTAACTTAGAGATGATTGTCCGAAGCATTCCTGTATTTTTGTAATGCTTTGTGTCTAGTTTGAATTTTGTAGAACTGATCCACAAGTCAGAGGGCTGGAGAACCTGCCCTGTGAGGTAAGACTGAAGGAGTTAGGTCTTTTCTGCCTGGGAAGGAGAAGGCCCGGGGGGACCTCATCACAGTGTTCCAGTACTTGAAGAGTGACAACGAAGAGAACAGAGGCTTTCCCTTCATAAGGAGCCACGTGGAGAAGATCAGGGCCAACAGGTCCAAGTTGCACAGAGAGAGATTTCATCTTTGTACGAGAAAGACATTTTGGTTTCTTTACAGTGAGAACAATCATTCACTGAAACAATCTCCTCGGGGACACGATGGAGTCCCCATCACTGGATTTTGAAGGTGCAACTAGACAGGGTGCCAGGTAATCTTATCTAGGCTCCCTTTTCCACAAAAGGCTATCAGACTATCTTGAAGTCCCTTCCAACCTCAGCTGTTCTGTGATTCTATGAGTCAGGAAAGTCTAGAAGTCCTCTGCTGATCTTTCAGTTAGAAGGTGAACTGTACTTTGTGGACCCTGTTGAGTACAGCCTTCAAAGCTTTGTGGCCTTCATCTCTAAAACATAGGACCTCAAGCTTATCTAGCTTTTTCCTGGCTCTCTTGAGATCAGAGACCTCTTCAGTTTGTTGGCTATAAGTCTTGTATCTTGGTCTGCAAATTTACTTCTTTCTGGGAGACATGGCATGAAGTATTGAGTTGAAGTAACTCAATAGCTGTTGCATACAAATTCATCATACTGCTAGCAGAATGGCAAGGGGCTCGCACAACTACCTTTCATCTAAAGCATGTTATTTCTTATGAGGGTTGAATAAAGCTATTCAGATGGTGTACACACAGTTTTGAAACAAAAGAATCTGTCCTGCTCCAGAATCTTTCCTTTGGTGTCCCAGCTGCTACGTTTTCCTTGAAGAGCTGATCCTTATCCCACGTATTTTCTATCCTTGAAGTTAGATTGTAACCTTGGAGGAATAATTCCATTATCCTGGCTGGACTAGGAAGATGCGTATTTCCCAGTTAATCATTGGCTGTGAGCTTAATCAGTACAGTTGACAATGTGAGGAGATTTTTCTAAAATTAATAATTCTTTATAAATATTTTGAAGTCTCTGTCATCAGACAGACTGACATCTGCCATGTAAGACAGAAGTGTGTATTTTTTGAAAAACAAAAGAAACTCCTTGATACAAGCCCCAGACTTGCACATTCCCTTCAGGCTCCTTTTCAGATTTCTCAAGGTGAAATATGTCCTGTTAAAAAGGACCAGCATAAGACCTGCAAATTGGGTAATTTCCTCATCAAGCCCTGCTTTGAAGAGCATGAATACTGCTTAGACATAGTGAGGGCTTTCTATGCAGACATAAATTTACTCTTAGCTGAATGATTTTTCAACTTCAGGAACCATTTTTTGGTTTGGTTGTATGTTACATCTCTTCATTAGGCTGCTTTTATAACTTCTCAGAAGTACTGTGTATTCCCAGTGATAAATACAAGTCCTTCCAAGCCATTTGCAGTGCATGTGAGGAGCAGCCATGCCCCAGAGGAGTGTGTTTGAAGAGCATAGAATACCTTTGTAGTATCTTTGGCTTTTATTTATATTTTTCATTTTTATTAATATTTTTATCTGCCAGCACTTAAGCAGGAGCTTTTTAAAAGGTGCTTTTTATATTTTTAAACTAGTGTTATGTGGTAGTGGTGGGGTTAAGTGCCATGCAGTTGGTTCATTCTGCCAACTTTGCCAACAGAAGTGATAATGCCTCAAGGTTACCTTTTAAAAAATATTTTTAAATAGCAAAATTATTTTTGAATACTTGTATTCATGTAATATATCAAAATGATGCCAGGTTACTTTGTATGAGTTCAAAGAACATTTTTAGGTATACGAACTACATATTCTCCTGCAAGCTACTGACAGAACTTGTATGTGTTTAAATTTTTTAAGAATTGGATGTGGAAATCAAGTTGCAGTTGACAATCAAAGTTTTAGTCTCTTTTGGAAAATGCCAGCTTTACCTGTGCCTCTGGCAGTATGAACACTGTATCTGTGCTTTTATGTACTTTGCATATATCTTTTATATTAAGGCTGTTTAAGCATTTCATTAAAATAATCTTCTTTGTGTCTGCCATTACTTCTGTCTCTAGAAGAGAATATGGTTTGTGTTTAAACAATTTTTTTTTAACAAAATTGGACAGGAAATAATGCTATGTGTAGTTGTAACTGTAGGAATTTGGAGTGCATGCAACACCCTAGTTTCCACCCAGTTTTAACATGAGACATTCTTCTGTACTGTGTTGTGTGGATTTCTGCAGGAAAATACTTGCAGCACAGCTCCTTAAGTGGTTACATGGGCTTTATTATAGACCAAACTACTTAATTTTGTAGTTCAGGACAAACTAATGACTATGGCATTAAGAAAATTGTTGTGTGATTATGGTTAAGATACAACATTTGGGAAGCATTGCAGAGAGACAGAACGTTGTCACCATGCGTTAATGGGTTTGCTGATAAACAAGGAAAGTGTGAAGTCAAGGATAAGAGTTCTTAAACTATTTCTGTGGAAAACAACATAGAACCCAGCTTCCTGGGTGGGAAGGAAGTTAGAGCCAGCATAGCTGTTCAAGAGAGGTTGCCAGCACAGACAAACCAAGCCAAACTAGCTTTACGTTTTCACTGAGTGGTGGGAGACTGGGTTATAACTGATGCTGCTTGTATTTGCCACATTACATGTAACAATAAAGCACTCATTGAGCAGTATGAAACACTGGCTTGCTTTGGAGATGGGGGGAAGACTGCCACCTGCTGAATCAGTAACACTAGTTCTGCGTCTGTTTTCCTTAGTGCAAACCAGAAAATGTTTGAGATTATTTTAAGGGTACTTCTTAACACTGGTTTTATTTTTTTTTTGGTCATGCATTTTTGACCTTAGAATAATGCACATCTCAGTGGTGAAGTGATACAAAATACATCATTAATAAAATTCTATTCAGAACCTAAACTAAAAAAAAAGAAAAACATTCTAAAATATGCTTTCCTAGAATAAGAAAAGCCTTTTTGTAAGTATCAGCTATAGTAATGTGTAATTCAGTAATATGGCCATCCAGCTTTATGATGATAAAGCCTTTCATAACTACAAAATATGTTATTCTTTGTCTTTTTGCTAGCTGCATAAATTATTGTAAAGGCTGCATAAATTGTGTAAAGGCACAATGATTACAAAAATGTAAAACTCTGGTTTTATTGTTTTGTTTTAGATAAGATGGGAAAAAAACATCACACTGGGGGAGCCCCCAGGATTCTTGCATTCTTGGTGGTGGTAAGTGTCAATTTTCTTTTCCTCTGATTTTTGGAATATGTTGATTGCTAGTTCTAGCAGCTGGAGGCAGTAAATTCAGGTGAACATTGTGAAAGGAATGTGAAGATGAGGATCAAGAACAATTTTCTTGTTAAGGAATGAAAAAACAGAAAATTAGATATAGAAAAAGATACAGATGTTAGATATAGGAAAAGAAATATTGCATAGTGTGTTGATAAAAGCATCTTTGAAAGAAGGTGGCCTGCATTTTTTTTTCCTACCTTTGAGTAAATAGTGCATTTATTTAAGAGATCATTCTACATATTCTAAATAATTGCATTTGAAAAAAACAATATGTACAGAGAGTGCATATATATGTGAGCTTCCTCAGTCTATAGTCCACATTCTAGTCACAGGAATAGCATATGAAATGAACCAGTTGAACCCAAACTACTAGCCTTTTTGAGCAGTAGCATGCATTAGCGTGGGCTTGGTGCTGCAGTGTTTGCATTTGCACGGTTTCTCTCAGCTAAGAAGACAGGTAGACATGGGGCTGACGTAATTTTTTATGCATGATACAATTTTCTTTATATATATTGGTGTGTACAGACATTTGTGTGTGTAGAATTCTCAAGGTGGAAAGAGTGCGCATAGTCACTGCTATTTAGCCATGGTATTTATTAGTTGTCACATGATTTGAATATATGCAATATGCCTGTGTGTGAAAGAATACAAAATTACAGAGGATATGTCCAACTGTCAGGAGTACAAGAATTTACAAGTTTTAAAGTGGTCCTATTCAATCCCAAGTTATCTGTACAGCTGCATGGAAGGTAGCATATTCTTCATTGACTTTTCCCTTGTAGCTTATAGCTGTGTGATAGAAGCTTGGCAAGAAGAACATGACCCTTGTATCTCTGATGTCTGCATTATCCTTGATTTTGATTGTCTGCAGCACAGTGCTCAAATTTTCCACAATGCCTTATGGTGCTTGACTAAGTTAAGAGGATTAAGTCTGAAACAATGAAGGAACACTATGAAACACTAACAGATTTTATTCTTTTAATTGTTCTAGCATACATGACATTTAATTCCGGAAACTTTATGTTAGAACTCATGTGTGTATAACTCTCTTTGAAGGGGGCTGGGGGAAAACTGATGGGAGTACCAGAATTTCCTTTCACTCTTTGTAACTGAAGGACATACCCATCTATTTCCTACTCTTGTTCATACACCGTGTTTCTCCGGGAACTTTTGTTTAAAGCACAGTATTGGACGTTGGAAGAGCTCCCAGTTTTCTCTCCAGTTTCTTTCCTTTTCATGTTACTACAAATCCATCCCTTCCTGTGCTTCGTGGAAGCTAATTGCAGCAGTTATCAGAGGGATGGTGTCAAATGCGGATCTTCAGAAATACGCTTTATACCCTTAAACCTTGTCTATTAGACTAACTTCTTGGTTTAAAGAATACACCACTTCTTGCCTCAGAGAATCAGATAGCTGGCTGTGATTCCTCATATATGTTTTACAAAGCTAAATTCTTTCATAGAACTATTTTCATCCCTCAGCAAGGAAGTGATATGTCTGTTTCTATATATGAACATGCATATGTGGTATGTATACAGCATAAAATCTACATGAGTATTACAGTGTTTTTCTCACCATCTCTAACTTCTTAACTTGCAGTGTATTCTGGGATCTCTACTGTGCAGCTCCAGAAAGACGAGAAACATGTGAACATTCAAGTGAAGCAAAAGCCTTCCATGACTATGTAAGTTCGTGTGTCTTTACCATGCTTTCATTAATTACATGTATAAATGTGATAGAGAAGTATTTCTGCACTACAGTGGCTCAAAAATGCAGGTGTCAATCATATATAAGTAACTCTCAGTTGTCTGGGGAAGCCTTAGAATTAGGACTTCCTAATTCTTTGATTACCTGGCACCATATGGATGACTCTTGGAAGCCTTCTCAGAAATCAAAGTGCTGTCCCATGTGTTAATGCAGAATGAAGAATGTCCTTCTGTCACCCCTGTCATGGACACATCAGGCTGATCACAAAGGCACAGGGCAAATGGAAGTACAGATACGTCCTGTCCATCTGATGATTTCGTTTTTACAGACAAAATCCTTAGAAAGCTGACCACTCTAAGTTTACTTTGGGCCACTGATGTAGTCTGAAGGAGTATATCTCTCTCACGATACAACTCTGAGACCTCTTTTGTTGAGTGTTTTCCATGTCTGACTTAGAAATACTGTCTAGTTAATGCAGAAAAATATTTCTACAAAGAAAATTAAAATTAGGCTGCCATAGCCAAGTGTCTTACAAACACAAATGTGAAAAAACAGAAATGAATCAGCCGTGTGTCAATTTTCCATTTTTTGTTGTCATAATCTGATAATGGCTTGACATCCTACAAAACATGAACTAATGGTGATCTTGCTTTATTTGTAGTTAACGATGACTTATGTTGTAAGTGTACCATCAACACAGTTAGAACTGTTCAGGATATTTTACTTACAGACCAACGCCACTTCATTAACCTGTTCTTGGTGCTTAGATTATGAGGCTAACTAATAAAGGAGCCTGCACAATTTTGCACAGTCATGTCCCAGCCACATTGATCACTAGTCATAATCAATGAAAAAAGTGTCAGAGAGTGGACCAAAGTTACAAGGAAGTTTTCTACCCACAGAGGTGTGAAGGTCAACGAACTTAGTAAGGCATAATCCTCAAATTAAAAATGAAGTAACTCTTGCAAGTACAATTCCTGCAATCTTCTTTATCTGTTCTTTTAAAAATACTTAATTTTTGGAAAAATACAATATTTAGCTGTTGTTTTGAATCCTTGCTATTAGAGCAAAATTTAATTACGCACTGAAGTAGAAAGTTTTACATGAAGGGAATGATGTTAGTGAACTAAATTTGTGGAGATTAGAACCCACAGTACTATAGTTGGCTTCAGTGGGGACACTGGGCTCTGAAAATATAATGTGTAAATAAAACTCAAAAATATGAAACCTGTAAATGTGAAATAATTTTGAAACAAAATGACCAGCAATAGGAAAATTTCAGTGGAAAAGAACTTGGAAATCTAAAAAGGAGTGGAGTCTACCAAATTCTTTAAACTCATGAGAGTTTCATTAATTAGTAAGTTCACTATTGAATCTAAATTTTGGTGTGTATCAAGAAGTTGAATAGGTGAATCAAATTAATGTCAAATAAAAAAAATGTTGTCTTAGCATCACCCTTCTAGTGCTTCTGACTTCTACAGGCCATGAAATAGTACATGGCTTGATTTATCAGTTTTGTCTGCAATATGAATGATGTGTATTGTCATAATACAGAAGCACTGAGAAAATACTCTAGTTCTGTGTGTGATACAATTTTCTGATTGTGTGAATGTTTATGTTATTGTATAAAGTAATGTTTGATGAATGAAAAATAAAATGGTTTGCTTCTATATGCACATCAGTCTGTTTTAAGACAGGATGAATGTTTATTTTAGAAATAAATTGGTTTATTTTAGAAATTAATTCACCAGGTATTTCTAAAACCCGTTCTCCCTTAATCTTTTAGGGTGACAGGAAAAGCTAGCTTTTGTGTGATTTTTGTCACAGTTGAGATAAACTCATCTAATATCTAGCAAGATTCATGGAGTTCCTCAGCATCGTGTGCGTTTTGCTTAGCAAGAGACTCGTGTTAAGTGCCTACTTTTGAAATCTTACATATATTAAATATTTCATGAGTGCGTTGTATGCTCATATTAAAGAACATGACAAATCGTTATAAAATACAGCCAGGAATATTTCACAGCAGAAGATGATGAACATTTATTAAGTGAAATCCTGACCCATGTAGTGTTTTGCCATTGACTCCAGAGGGGTCAAAATTCCATCGTCAGTGAAGAACACCGGAATGTCCATTGCTGGATTCTGGCTTCTCCATCAGGCTGAGGGGTCTGATAAATCAAAACCCTGACGTCACGTTGCAGGTCAAGTAATAAAGCATTTGTAGCTGTGCTGTCATATCTGAAAACTGCAATTGTAACTAAAAAAGCACAGAAGGATTATTTATTAATTCATACTAGCAATTCAGCATTTTTTTTATTAAGCATGTGCTCTACTCAAGCTAAGAAAAACTATTCTTGCTGAAGTTGAGTCGTCTGGTTACAACAGATGTGTCATCTTTAACTCTAAGTAGACTGTATTAGCTGAACCAATATATTTTCTGTCTTTGCTTTTGTGAAGAGAGAAGGGTTTAAGAATGTTTGAATGAGGAGGAAAGCACTTACAGATGATTTAATGATTTGTGAAATACTGCTGCCTCAGTCAACATAGTTGTGAGTCAGTCTGGAACGCACAGAGGTTGACTCAAAATTAATAGATACAGAAAGATTTTGGGTTTTTAAGCTTTAAGTTTTACTGGTTCTTAACTGCAGTTGCAAAAATAATGGCATTTGATTCCTTCCCCTCTACCCTCACCGCTTCTTGGAGAATGCTTTTTCGAGAGATATTTGCTTTGCTGTAAGATTTCAGCATGTGCTTTGGTTGTAGTTAAATGCAATTAAATATCTGCAGCTGGACTCTGTATATCTACAATATGCTTGAGTGAGAAGACTATCAGAATCCTTCTTGCATGCTCTAGTGCTGTCCTGAAAATGAATGCCTATGGAGTTTCCTCTAATATCAAATCTGCCCAGTCAAGCAGACTGAGTCTTAACATGTGTGTGCCTATCAGTGTGCACTGCTTAGTCTGTTCTTGACTATTTGTGTACATCAACAAGAGAAATTCTTTCAGATACTACTATTTAAATTTTCTGATACACAGATGTGTACAGGTCTCTTTGCAGAACAAGGATGTTACTATATAGAGAAAGGGTTTGGAAGTACTATTCCATTGTGTTCAGACTGTACTAGTACAACTTCTGATTTCTATCGAGCTAGTGAGAGGAGAGGAATCTTTCATGTCTGACAGCAGGAACATGAAATGACTCTCAAGGTGGAGGCTGCAAGTGCTTGCAGTACTAATAATGCTCATCTTACTGAATATCCAATAAATAGAATAGCAAAAGCCTACTCTGGCTTTAAAAAGAAGAATTTTTTTATGCTCATCTTGAGGTTAAATATTTACACCTCCTCCATATTATCTAAAAGGGATTCTCTTTTTTTTTTTTTTCTATTGAGATTTGCAATGGGAAATGTTTTCTTCTGAGTGAACAGGGTTCTGAACTCACTAGGTATGTGTATATAAGCTTGAAAAGATAGATGCATGTCATGAAAGTGCATGTCCTGGATCATGGAGATAAGTTATGGCCTTGGAGTTTTAATGTAAATGATTTAGAATTAGAAATCGTTTACATTTCAGGTAACTCAGAAAAGAAAGCTGGTGCTTGGTCACCTAGACTATTAATATTGCAGACATTTCAGTAGGAGTAGCTTATTTAAAGTGGAACACACACCCACTGACACACACACCCCTGCCAGTGTCTCTTCCAAGTACCTGTTACTTTTCCTGGAGGAAAACTTCTCTGTGCTTTGAAGTCTTGTAAAAAGTCATTTATATGGATGCTCTGAGACAAAAGTTGGTCTTTACTGTAGAATGGGTTTTTCTTTCTTTACAGTGTCCAAAGGAGATCTCTTAATCTCTCTAGTTAAGATCTCATTTCTCTAGATTTTGAACTGAGATCTTCTTTTGAGAGAAGAGGGTTCAACATGCATCTTGTTTCTGCCTTCTTTTCGTGGTTTGAGCCTGGTTGGCAGCCAAAGGCCACACAGCCACTATCTCCCCCTTCTCTTCTGGCAATGAGAAGGGACAGATGAGCCAGGCTTGGGGTTTGAGATAGGACTGGGATGGGGGAAAAAATCACCCTTTATGGGCATGAGCAAAAGGCAGACTTATTAGGGGAAGAAAAAAAGAACATACATTTATTACAGACACTAACAACACATAACAGAGTAGGACAGTGAGAAGCATTGCCACATCTTGAGAACAACTTCCCCCACCCCTCCCTTCTTCCTGGGCTCAGCTCTGCTCCTGATATCTCTACCTCCTCCCCCCAGTGGCACAGGGGCAGGGAATGAGGGGGTGCAGTTAGTGCTGCTGCTTCTTCCATCTTCAGTGGGGGGAGCTTCTGGAACTTCTTCCTCCTGCTCCATTGTGGTCCCCCTCTCACAGGAGACAGTCCTCCACAAGCTTTCTCCAACATGAGTCCCTCCTATGGGCCGCAGCGTTCCCCTCTCTGCTCTGGTGTGGGTCACCAACTTTCTCCGACTGGATTCCCTCCCACGGCTGCAGCCCTTCCCGAGCTGCTCTGGCGTGGGACTCCCCCGTATGCTGCAATCCTCCCAGCGCTGAATTACAGCAGCGGGGCTGCCTTTTCCCACAAGACCCCGGCCTTCTTCAGGCACAGCACCTTGATCAACAAGGTGGAAACCACAGGCCATAAATCATTGTCTGCTCCACTGTAGATCTCCATGTGGCAGGAGGGGCCGCCCTGCCATCTCACCACAGGATACAGGGGGGTCTCTGCTCCGGCACACCTCCCCCCTCCTTTCTTCCTCCGTTCCTCCACTGACCTTGGTGTTCATGCAGCTGCACCAACTCCTCCTCACAAGTCCCACTGCTCGTCACCACGTCCCTTCTTAAATACGTTATCGCAGAGGCGCAGCTGATGGGCTCAGTTTTGGTGCAGAGGTGGAGCTGACTTGGAGCTGGGGGAGCTTCGAGAAGCTTCTCACAGTGGGCCCCCCCTATAGCCGAAAAACCCC